TAAGAATAAGACTAGATTGTTAGACTTGATCATATTCAAGAATATTTCTATACCAAAACATCGATATTAAATCAATTTTAAGATCGTAGAAAATTCTAGAATGATCTTCAATAGTATTTGAAATCTGTACGATCAACACTAGCAAAAACGGAACAAGAATTTCTTCGATGTGACTTTGATTCTGTCTAACGATCAGATTTTTAAATCAATTCTTTTACCATGTTCATATGTAAAAATATTGACTCTTTATCTTCATATCTAATTAAACGTAATTCGTTAATTAATTACAATTTAATAAGAGAATAACTTTCTAGTCGAATGTTGAGAAAACTTCAAGAGTGTTAGAATATTCTCCTAACTATAAATTCTATCAGTGGTAAAAATTTCTTCATCAAAATTATACTCCCAGAAATCAATTCATGTCTTAAAACTAGATCTTATTCTGTTGCTCTCATGTTAAGATCTTCAAGAAAGATTTAGAATTGATTGTTCGATATCTCATTCAGTCATAAAAAAAAATGTGTTTCGAAAGCTTCACTATGTTCAAAAAGACTCTTGCATAAAGATTTTATAATCTGAAAAATTCTCTACAAAATGTTCGATTTAGTTTTCAAAAATAATTTTTCGATTCTTCGTGTTTTGAAATGGAAACTAATGTAAGGAAAAGTTTTGTACTCTTTTTTTCTCTTATGACTAATGTTAGTATTTCAATAATACCTCGACGAAAAAAAATGTCTAAGAGGAGTGTTTCTCAAGTTATGCCGAGTAAATGAACACACATATGACGTATAGAAATAATCTAAAAAAAATCTGTTGAACATCTCGAAATATGTGAATTTTTATTTTGCGAAATGACGTCTCTAACGAAACAAGTTTTTACGTATTTTCATTAGACAAATATAAAAATAAATATTGTTACAGTTTCTAACTGATAAATAATAATAAAAAAATAATCATTTATATAATGTTGATCTGTTTAATGCTTTAACATATTTATAGTATTGTTTTTTCTTTGTTCCCACATACTATTTACATGATTATCAATTTGAGTTGTAGATGGTAATTTTCCAGAAATAGTCAATATCTTAATGAAATATTCTATTTTAATTTCTTGTTTTTCTAATAATTGTTCTGTTTGTTGTTTTTCTTCTTCTAATAATAATCTAGCTTCTTGAATTTTTTTTATCATTACACGATTTTTAAGTGTTATAGAATGTGCAACAGCATGAATAGCTCGAATTATTTTCCATAAACGTAAAATAACAATAGCTGCAGCAGCTCGTCCAGCTCTTCCAATATTTCCATAATGAAAATACATTTCCATAATAAAAGAAGAAAATACAATTATACTATCAACTATATATATTGGATTCATATAATATTTCCAACCAAAAGCATAAAAAGAAATAAAAATTTCCAAAACAAACGTAATAAGTAACAAGACAGAAAAATAAAAAAGAAATAAATCAGCACGAACTAAATAAATTGAATGATTGAGTAAACATGTATCGCGTTGTTCAGTTGTATTGTAAAATTTCATTTCTTCCTCTGTTAAACAAGGTGATGACAATTGAGCTAAATTAATAAACACATGCATCTTAATATTTTCTCCTATTTTATTTAATTGAAAATTTTCATTTTCAATTAAAAGGAATTTTTTTTAAATTAACATACCGAGAACTAAATCCACTAGAACGACAATTAAATCTGTGAAAACTAATAAAATAATAACATAATGAAATTTTGTTTTTTGAAGAAAACTTGCTAAACGTCGTCGAAATAATCTCAACGAATTTATTGAATTATTTGCTGATATTTTATCATCTTCTTGAATTTCTTGTACTTCAATTGCAAGTTTTCTAAGTTCATCAATAATATTACTTAATTTTACCTCTCCCATTGATTTTCGAGGTAATATACGACGATTAGCAGCTTTGACTTTTGTCCAATTACTTATTTTCATATTAATTGGTACAGATTTATCTTCATATGATTCGGGTTTTTCTGTTAGATTTCTTGGAGCATCATCAGATAATACAGGAATAACAATAACATCTGATTCTGTTAAGTCCATAATAATACTAGAAATATTAGAATTTAGATTGTATTTTTTTAATATTTTACTGTAATTTAATATATTTTCATGCATTTCAAAGATAACGATATATTTCTATACTATTTCATTTTGACTTCATATTATTATACATATATAAATATAGGGACTGAACATAATCATGAATATTCTTTGACATTTAATTTTTCTATCGAAAAGCTAACTCTTTAAATATATCTTTGTTAGAATATAAAAAACATTCTAGGTATCTTCAATTTGTTATATTTTATTTCCTTTGTTTCTTTTTTTCTAATTCTGAAATTCTATATAGAGAAAGCATGCATGTGACCTATGGAATGGAAATATTACAGTAAAAGAATTGAGTTCAACAAAAGTGGTTTTTTTTTTCTTTGAATATAAAATAATGTAACTAGAGCAACAACTAAAATGTTGAAAAAGCAAAGTTCATAAAACAATTAAATAAATTAAAACAGATGTTTTTAAAATAGTCTATAAATAAATCGAACAAAACGAATATTATTTGAACTATGTTTGAAAAGATCTTATCTACTGTCTAGTTTTATATTATTTAATATTTAATTATGTGTTCAATAATATCTATCAAATTTGAACTAAAAGCTTTAGGATGAGTTTATTTACTTGAACTTTCTTGTAAAAAAGACTTTTATTTTGTTTGACCGAAAAAAATCTTTGATATAGCTTATTTTGTTCATAATTACACACAAAATTTTGTCTAGTTATGAAATGTACATACAAAAGATTTTTATGTTGCTTTGTATTTTTGATCATTAGGATACTAAGTGCACAATTTAAATTGAATAAGATTAGATTTATTTTTCTTTTAACATACTTTTAATTAATAAAATTGATGATTATTACTTAAAAGAAATCGATAAAAAGTTTTTTCTATTAACTATTATATGAAAACAATTGAATAGATAAAATTTTTTTCGTAAAGAAAAATTTTATTTGATTTATATCTCTAAAAAATAGTTATTCAAAGAAAACATTTTATAAAATCCATTTGTCATAGAATTAAAATGTAAGTTTTCCTTGTTAAAACAGGTCTGATGATATTAAAGAAACCTTGTTCATTGATTTTATTTGATTATACTTATTTATTTTTTTATGATTATCTTCTATTTCATTCTTTTTACCAATTCAATTTTTAATCGTTGAACGACGAATTTATTTCAATAAAAAAAAATTTTTTTTTGTTCTCAAAACGACATACTTTGAAAATTGTTGATGATTATTATTTTTGCTCTTAGATTTGATTTAAAAGTATGGCGATTATATTAGATGAAAACACATATTGAAAAGTCTGTTTTACTATATATCGATTTCGGTCTCTATTCAAATTGTAATATCGTAAATTTATCGGTTTTACCAGCAAAAGATTAATCCTCACTATCGAATCAAATATATAATTTATTTTTCTAGTAAAAATAAATGTCTACTCGATGGATTTGACAATAAGACAAATATAAATTATTTGTTAGTTTTATTATCTCGTATGAAACTTGCTCGATAAGAATATCTTTTTGTTTAAATATATGTTGTTGTTTCACTTACCGTTGATAGTCACTTAAGTTGTCGGAAATTTTAGCGTTTGTTCATAAGTTTAAAGTGCAATATCCGTCTATTGTAATTTCTTTTTTCTTTACTTCAAGTAAAACTCTGCTAAAAGAAAGAAAAAAAAAAACTTTAATTATTCAAGTCATATTTTTTTTTGTTGCCATAAACAACTGATGGTCCGTTTCCATGTAACTATGACACTTATTTTGAACTTCTATAAACAAGTTTTTATTGAAAATAACGCTATTTAAGCACAATACATCATAAAATGCACCTCAAACAAACTGAAGTACGTCTTTTGTAAGTTTTCAAAACATGTTCGAATAAGTTTAGATTACCTATAAAATACGTTTGCATACCAATGTCTTTAACTTAGCATCTTACTAGATTTATTACTCAAGGTAATTTTTATTTGAATATAATGCAGACGCTCTCTGTCGAAGATGTGTAATGGTCTGCATTTTTCTTTTAGACCTTTGCTACTCATTATTATCAGTTCCACATTTAAGTACAGTTCACCAATCCCCATTATGTTGCTACAATGCAAGTGAATCTGTTTCTGATTTTAGATACATCAAGATGCTCTACACTGCAAATTATTCATTTGAGACGATCATGAACCTAGAAACTATTACAAATTCGACTATAGACAATAATAAAATTCTCTTATAATTTATTTCTAAAGTATAGTTAAACATATGCTATTCATAATAATAATGACTTTTCTATATAATGACTCATTTTACAACGTATCCGATTGATTATTGTTTGAGACATATCTGAAAAAATGTTTTTAAATGAGAAAACTTCCGAATGTCCATGTTAGTCTTTCAATATTACAAGAATATGTAATCTGCTTATGGAATATAATTACGTAGACGCATTTCTCAATTCTATAATTAAAATCAATTATGTACTTAGATCCAGTAAACATTTACCGTTTGACAGTTAATTATTTAAATAAATTGATTTTTTTCATCAATTTTCGAATTCATGTAACTTCATGAATTAATTGCAGTACAAATAAGTGTTTCTTTTTTTATATGAAGTCTCATGACAATAAAAGAAAAAGTTCATCAAGTCTGTATTTAACTCGATGATGAGTTCCATGTCTTTTACTCTCTTGAAACTATAGTCAAATTTTCATATGATGCGTTTTATCAAATGACTTACAAGTTCGTCGAATTCAAATAAATAAATCATTTAATGAAAGCAACGGATTATTAATACCATAATTGAGTTGCAACTTATTTTTGTCACTGAGAAATTGAAAATATTACCAAATTCGTTCATATATTTTAAGTTGTTTCATTTTAGATCCTGTAGAATGCATTATAAATAATAAACACATTCAAAAAAGCTTTTATAAAAACACTTACATATATATTTTAAAATACCAGTGTTTAGACACTTGTGTATGCATTGCATATTGGATGAGGAGAAATGCATTACAATCCGAAAAATAGTTGCATGGACCTGAAAGAAAACACTTCAGTGATAAATTTATAATTTTTCCAAGAAACAAATATCAGATGAATAGGATGTTTATTATGAACAAGAAAAATAAAATATTTCTCGTTGCAATCGCACAAATTTAAAAGTATTTAACAAAAAATGAAAATTTTCTAAATGGTTCAATTTTTCTAAAGAATTTATTAAATAGAAAAGAATGTACATATGAACTATTTAAATGATATAAATGAATGATTCATGAGTATTATTTTACTTTGATTTTAATCAGATGAAACAAATTAAGTTTATCATTGTTTTATCATTAGTATATTTTTAAAAAATCTTGTCTAAAATAAACGAAAAAATACAAGTTAATTAATCTCTGTTTCTCATCTGATATATAGCACGATTAATTCTAATATTCAGCTACATCCTCAAATTTCTCTACATTAATTATATGATAGATGACAAAAGGGAAAAAATACCACTGCAATAGTCTGTGCGAATGTTGATGATGTATAGCTAAAATTCATTTTTGAACATACCATTGAACAAATACAATCTCTAGTTTAAGACTGACTTTAGTCAACGAATTTATTTTATCTAAATTATCTTTCTCATACAAATTATATTTTCATTTGAATGTCCTTGAATAGTTTTCAATAGGATTAACAAAGAAAATATGAATTTCTTAGTAATGAAAGAATTCTCAAAGGAATTATGATAATTCCTTGAGTAAATAAGAATTGACTATTACTTCCATCACAATATTCGCATTGATAAAAGGTAAATGATATTTTATCTATAATAGTCTTCATATTCATACATTCATGTTCACAAAGTTCTTAATGAATATCAATTGAAGAAAACAAAACCATATCATGAATATTGGTTTTTATTTAATAAATCACGAAACTGAAAAATTTGAAAACGAATTCTTATATCTCAGTCGCTGTTACGCTGTTCATATTCTTTAAATGAACCTCTCAAAACACACAAAATTATCAAAATGTATCATTGATTCATTGAATTTTGACGTTGATTGACATTCTATCTTTTGATCTTTTCAAATTTGGATCGCGTGCTTTTGTCTAACAAAAATACAAACTTCATAATAAAAATAAATTGAAAATTTCAAACAATTTCAATATGATTAGATAAATATAAAAAAACCTATGAAAAGAAAAATAACGTTAAGTGAAAAAGTGTTCATCTATTTTATTTTGATTGATGAGTTAGTATTTGATAAGTGAATGAAGACGAGATGTCTTCTCTTAATGATCATTAAGTAAAAAGAAAAGAGATTGTTTTGTTTCATAGGAAATAATCTCAACACAAAACAATTCATTTCATTAGCCGAATAAATGTTTATATATGATGGTCAACACTAATGCATTCCATTTCATATAAGAAGTACAAAAGATCGAACAAGAGAAAGAAAGAATACGATAAAAAATAAGAGTGAGCAACACGAGCATGAAGGTCGACGACCGTCCTGTTTGTTCAAATGTGTGTACACATTATGGTCTATTCGTTTTGACATTCTTCTTCTCTCTTTCTTTGTGTTTTTTTTTTCATCATAGTGATGGAAGTTTGCATGGTCAACCAACAAAAAGAAATCGAACCTCTTTTGAATATATTTCAAGAAAATAGTCAACAAAGTAACTTTATTTTCTTTTTTCTTAATTAAATTATGTGATTTATTAAAATAAAAAGTAGTTTATCCAAATGTTGATTATGATTGTTTACAAAAATATGATGAAAATAATAAACATTTTTCTATGGCAATTATCTTAGAGAATCAAGAAGGAGAACAACAACAACGACCTATTGGTTATGATTGTATTTATCGTTATGGAACACATCGAGTTAAATTTGAATATTATATTGATACACAAATTTGGAAAAAAATTGCTTTAGAATCTGATGAAGAACAAGAGACTATTTTAAAGTCATTATTTAATGATAAT